CTAGGAAATTTAGGGTAGCAAGGTTTTTTGGTATTTAAAATTTAGGTTAAAAAGGAAAGTGCGTCTTTTAAACTGCTCATTCTCTATAATAATTAAAGAAAACCAGTCATAGATATAATATTGTTGCATTTCTGTCCAGATTGCATACAGATTACATGTAACATAAAAAGGAAACTTACTTATAAGCATTTCAACTCCTAAAATAGCATCTAAATTAAAAATAGGTATTCCGGTTTATTTTGACATCATTGAACTCAACAGATGATTATACAAAACATAACCTATTTGAAAAACGAATCTGTAAAATTAAATAAATGACGACAGATTGAATACATGTTCATGTATGGAACAAAAAAAACTTTTTTTTTTCGATTTGACTCCAATTATTTTTAATAAATGTTTTAGCATTACAACTCCTAAAATAAGATCTAAATTAAATATACGAGTAGGTATCCCGGTTTGTTTTAATATGATTGAACTCAACAGATGAATATACGAAACATGACATGTTTGAAAAAGGAATCTAAAAAAGAAAATTAAATAAATAAAGATATATTGACTTCATGTTTGTGTATGGAACAAAACAGACTATATATTTTGTTTCTTAATTTGACCCTAAATATTTTTGATAAATGTTTTAATTAGTGCTGGTATCGGTAGGACGGGGACGTTCATTGCTCTGGATATATATTTATATATATTATATATATATTATAAATATTTTTAATTAATGTTTTAATTAGTGCTGGTATCGGTAGGACAGGGACGTTCATTGCTCTGGACGTTCTGTCTAGGTACGGAGAGGAACATGACAAAATCAACGTCATCGAGTTCGTTAAGGCCATGCGTAAAGACAGGATGACGATAATTCAAAACTCTGTGAGTTGTTGATTGTGTGCGTCTCTTAGTTTACATACAAATTTTAAATTTTTATACGGAGAAATTTACCATGTACCATCTTAAAGCCTTATCTTAGTTGTATTTCATTTAAGGATCAGTACGTATTCCTTTATCACGCCCTGTATGAGTACTTCGGAAGAAAGGCGAATTTTATAAGCAGAACAGAGTTTATTGATTTGTATGGCGAAATGGAAAAAAATAAAAAACAAGAAAACGACTTGGGAATGAATTCAATGTAAGTATTAAAATTCAAAAATTTATTTTTACAAAATTGTACTATTTCATGTACATGCAATGACTTATGATGATTATAACTTTATTTGTGAATCTGATAAAAGCTCATTAAAATTAGATATTTCGTTTATTTGTTATAATAACATTTCCAATGTCTTTGTCCGAGATGAAATTACAAATAGTAAATGTACTTTATTTCCTATTCATTGTATTGGTCCTTCAATAGTCGCAGTTTTAAAAAAACCTGTGCAGGGCGGGTTAAATAGCTAGACAAAAGCAGGACTTAGAGCACGTGGATTGGCGGAATCAAAAGCATGTAAATATAAGGAATAACCGTCAGATTTTTGCAATTTCATGACGATAATCACGCAAGCCAATCGATTGATTACATCATGAAATCGAAAAATTAGACAATTATTCCTTAATCAGATGACACGCTTAGTGTCATTAAATTTGCTTTTCAATAAGCATATTAGTCATCTAAGGATATAGCCGTTTTCAAATTCATTACTTATATGAAGTTTGTTATGTATTGATTTGCAGGATTGATTCAATTACAATTTTCTTATTCAAACTATTTTCCATTAAAAAGATTATATTCATTGTAATCGTTACATTTAGAAACTTTTGGTTAAAGTAAAATAGATTAAGCTTAAAAATAATTTTTTTAAAAGGTCACCTTAAATGTACTGTTGCTTTGGAAGATGTACACTGAACCCATTTTTCTATGCAATATTGAGTCATGCATGTACTATCGTGAGAATATACCTGTTGAAGACCCCTTGATTTAGAGTATTTATAATTTTACAAGTTACAATCTATACATTCAAAGGAAATAAAGATGATAAATTTTACAAAAGAAATAAATTGCACATATTGATGTATTTTATTCATTGCCTGGAAACCAGTCATAATGCGGAATAATTATGTTAACCAATAAACTATTTTAAAAAGTTCATCAGAAAGAAAGCTTGGTAGATTTATTTCTAACTTTAACTGATCAAGTATATTTAAGAAATGAACTTATTTTTTGAAGATTCATGAGGCAATGAACTGCGATGATTTACAACGGCATATTTTATGAAGCGCGTTAGTCTTATTTTTCGATTTCATGAAAATAAATATGCTGGCGTAAAGCATTGTAGTTCATATACCTCATGAATCTTCAAAAATTAAATTCATATCTTATATTTACATTATTTTTCTGATGACTTGTCATAATTTTACGCCATTCATCTGTCATTTTTTTTTTAAAAGTGTGCATTATATTTTGTGACATTAAGTGAGGTATTATTACGTAACAATGGAGATATTCATGCTTATTCGTGGTACATATGTAATGTAGTTTATGAGAAAATAAACTGCATTTTATTTTTAGAAGAATCATAGGGGAAATTTGTTGGAAAAGTAAATATTATTTGATAAATTTATTTTGGATTTCAAGGTTGTAACAAATTTAAAGCCACGTTACATCGCCGATGATTTCAAAACAAGACGGCAGCACATGAAGCTCAGTTTTACTCAATCTGTTTTACCAGGTTATGTTATTTGTTCAATTAAAAAAATTATAAAAACTAAAATGTGATGTTTGAAAAAAAAAACTATTTTAAAAGAATTAATTGCATGTGGGTATTCAAATCAATGAAATTTATTTTTTTAATACATATATTACAGTTGAAAGATATCTTGTGTATTTAACATCAACTGTGAAGGGACGAGATCAATATTACAATGCAGTAAATATTTCGGTAATTCTCATTTGACACATGCTTCTATCAGTTTAAAAGTTATTTGATAGTAGTGTTAGGGAGTTTATATATTTGTTTTCTGTTGTATTTTTAGTCGTTTACCAGAGCTGAGGAGTTCATTTCTGCGCAATTTCCGGTATCAGGAGCCGCCATTGATCTTGCTCGTTTGCTGGTTGATCAGGAGTCTCCATTCTTGATCTCGCTGAATCCTTTATCTGAATTTAGTGAGGTAATTGATAAGAATGATTAAGAATTTATTCAAAGGAGTAAATATTTTTTTAATGATTTGTGACAGTAAAATTTCCTGTTTTAACAAGATAAAAGATTGGGCTGACAACACTGTCAAGAAAATTGATTTGGCTCCATATGAAATCTCAAAGAGTACACAGCAAATGGTTACAAACAACTTTCGGAAAACAGACATTAAAATTAAAAGGAAACACGTGAGTTTATTTTCTTTGTGATATATACACAAAAGTCGGTACAGATGGAGATTAGGGATTGGAATATTCCATTGCTTGTATAATATAACACGCAATTCATTGATTGATTGATTGTATATTGTTTAACGTCCCTCTCGAGAATTTTTCACTCATATGGATACGTCACCGTATGCCGGTGAAGGGCTTCAAATTTTGACCTTTACTCGGCACTCAGGGCCATTGAGCAGTGAGGGATCTTTATCGTGCCAACGCCTGCCGCTGACACGGGGCCTCGGTATTTAAGGTCTCATCCGAAGGACCCGCAACTTTCACTTCAAAGTGCCGAGCGCATGGCGAAGGAACAGTTGCTACCAATTTTAACGACTAGTTCAGTTGCGGCCGAGATACGAACTCACGACCTCCCGATCACGGAGCGAGCGCATTACCGATTGAACTACCTTGAACAGTACACGCAATTCAAATAATTTTTTTAGAATGAGAAATTTTTTAAAGAGTATTTCGAGATCAGAAGGGTCTCTCACATTAGAATTTTATTTTTTTTGTTGCTTACGAGGTAATTCTATGAGAAACAAAGTAACTAAAAAAAAGTAAAAAGGAATGTGCTATTTATTTTCACAAACCGTTTTTGCATATTATCTGTAGGGTGAATTTCATGAAGTACATGTCATTGAATGTCTTGATTGGAGTTTGTCTGAGCCTCTACCAGCACAACCCGGATGAACCCTTATTTCTAAGTATGTATTACTACTACCAAGAAATGTATGTATTTTAAACAGTGAATATTCAGAGATGTTTTTAAGAATTAATAAGTTTTGTTAATATCAGATTTGTAGAATTTATTTTTTTCTATGGACGGAGCAACATGTTGTGGTGTATTTATTGCTGTGTATAACGCCATAGAACAATTACAGCTGGATGACGAGGTAGACATATTTACCACAGTACAACAACTGCAATGTCGCCGACCGGAAATGATATCTACAAAGGTAATTAGCACATATATTATCTATAAGAATATATATGATAATAAAATTTAATTTATTAAAAAGGATGAAAAAACATATTATACAAATGTATATTGTTTTTCTCGTAGGAGGAATACGAGTTTTGCTTTAATGCTGTGTATGAATATCTGACTTCGGACAGCATGTATGCCAACACTTAAAGATCTAGAGTGAATATATCTATTGACTGGATCTTCATGCATTCATAAATAAAACTTTATTTAGCTTTTCATATTTGGAATGTCTTGCTTACAGAATGCAAAGTACTTACATGTAGCTGGTATTTGTATATTAATTTGTAGATATGGTCTTATGTTGTAAATTTTAAGAAGTATTGACCATATTACTTTGATTAATTTATGCGGCCAATTTCCAGGATAAAATTCAACAATATTCTTACAAACTTTCTGTGCCTTTCTAACTTTGGATCTGAAAATAAAAAAAAATGTAATGAATTTTCATTTGTTTTACTACGATTAACTAAACACTACTGGACGAAAAAAGTGCTGAGAATCCCAAATTTTACTGATAAAGTTTGATAATTACTGATACTGTGCTGTTGTTGCTGATAAATACTGATATTTACTGTTATTATTACTGTTTTTGCTGATATTTTTTGTTGTTTCTGATAAATACTGATAATTACTGTTGCCTTTTACTGTTGAGTCTGATAAATACTGATAAATACTGTTGAGGTACTGTCGTTGCTGAGAATTGCTGATAATTACTGTTGAGGTACTGTCGATGCTGAGATTTACTGAAAATTACTGTGGTCATTGTTTTAAACCTGGTAATTGGTTTAAAATAAAACAGAGGGCTATAAAAACCTTCAATTATTACTTTCTTTTACTTGAATTGTCATGGCAAAATTTTCATATTTTTTTAAATGTTCTGCTTGTGGCAAAATTACATGACTGTATGTATGTATGCTGATCTCAATTTCTACATTACGTTAACTTTGTGAAAATTTTGACACTAATCAAATGAATTATTAATAGAATGAATATATAGAAATAGAATTAATAAAAAAAATTAACTGCAGAAAATAAATGGAATTTTACTTTTGCATAAGATCTTATTGAAAAATAAACTGTAAATATAAAGAAAATTATGCTATCTTAAAAAAGATCCATCGCCGCCTTTCCCGACTACAAGAAAATTATGTAGGGAGATCGGTGATCTTTTTTTTTCAATAATATTAAGAAAAAAGTTCTTAATGGATGGGGAAAAAATCGGGATAAAAAAAGTTTCCTGCAGATTAGAAAAGTTGGGTTTGTTCCGTTTTCACTAGGTCAACTGCGCGGTCGAGTTTGGACAACATTTTGTTTTTGAAGGCCTTTTTTTCTCTAGAAAACAATTATATTTATCTTGTTAAATGTTCAGTTTTCTGGTCTCTTTTCGTCGAAATATTTGACAATTTGCTCGAAAATTAGAAATATTATCCCTTTTAAAAAGTAACTAAGAGGTGAAAACAGGTTTGAAGATGTTCAATCTGTGGGCACTGATTTTAATTAATAATTTATTTACTTATTCATTTATTTTAATGTTATGTAGACGTTTGTAGTTCGTCCAAGAATTAAACTCCTCCACATGTACATATGTACAAGTACACACTGTATGCATGTGCAACCGGCAAATGGGGCGAGCTGATTAAAAATTAGAGGGTAAGAATCCCTAGTACAAAGGTACATGTGTTTAGTTTGTCTCTTAAAATTTAAATACAAAATCATTTTTTTATTTAATCAGTTTTAAATCTCATTAATTTTTTTTTATTTGATTTTATGGAATGGGAAATAAGAACTGAAATGAGACTTAATTTAATGTGTTACTATTAGTAGATGATCAAGTTGATCGATTTTAATTTTGCATGGTAAAAAGTTGAAAGGAAAACACCTTTAAATTGATTTCAATTGATCAGAAATCGGTGATCGAGCCGTGATTTGGCTGTATTGTGTACATGTCTTCAGCCCCGGGGTAGAACGGGGTACAACTTGTATATTCCATGCAAATTGTAGTGGTCAGCGTAACAATGGGCACTAATTACCTATTGTTCTTCGTCTGCGGCTACCGGTGTTTTCAATAAACAAACTACCTACACTGTACATGTACTCGCTACTTTGGAACAATCTTAAAGTTTATGGTCGCACGAAAAAAAAATTCCATAATATTGAATTTGATGAAGAATAAAATTGATAGAAAAAATATTTAGAATAGAACACTTTGGTACTATAATGAAAAAAATAAATACAAACGTGTACATCATGTACGTTAATTGTACAGACTTATTTTCACTATTATTTCAATTCTCAAAGATCTATCTTCTTCAGTATTTAATTTCATTTTTTAGTTTTACGCATATATTTCTTAAATCAATCAATCATTTATTTGAATCTTTTTACCATTTTACTTTAGTATACATAGACCACAAAACCATAAAAAATGTAGGTGATTTTATACATAACAGTAGGTCTAAAAGGCATGGGTGAATAAGAAACTAAACAAAAAAAATTTGTAGGTTGCTATAAATGCGAAGTAAGGTAATTTAGGCCGGGGAGTATATTTTGTTTATCAGATAAAAGAATATCCCGGGGGAGGTGGTCACATGTATTTTCAATTCTGAATCTCTGCTAACGATGGTTTGGGACCGGTAAATACGTAGACGAGAAATTGACTTCACTTTTTAATAAAAAAAAAAGTGTGCAAAATATATAATCATATAGATATAAAGAGAAAGATTGTTTAGTGAAGCGCTTTTTTGAAATAATATTAGCATGAATTGTTCCCAATTCAGATGCAGGGAAACTCCACTTCGCTTAATCCGAGAAAAAAAAACTTAAATGTATGGATTTATGTCAGAAACATGACGTTGTGAATCGCACTCATGAATAAATGTTATAATTACTTCAGTTCTGAAATTTGTATTGTTCATTGCAATTGATTCTCTAAAATAATTTTATTCATGCATATAAAAAATTCGATAAGTATAATATCATAACTTGCATGACTTTTAAAACACACAACTAAAGAACAGACATTGCCCTATCGGCTATCACTTAATTGTAAACAGTATTTCACCCCCTCCTTTTTGTGCTACAATCAAGTAAAATCATATAAATAAGCACCAAGTCTGTACTGTTCGTTTATACAAAGGTCTCGGACAAAAATGGAATTAAAAAAAAATTACAATCACTGCACAAAATTCTAATTTTACAAAAACGCAAGCCGTAACGATATCCCTATGGCAGAATGTACTAATAATTGACCCGATTCTAAAACGAAAGTAGAACTTTTACACGTGGTTGACATCAGGCACGTAGTATCCGGGGGGGGGGGGGCAGGGGGGCCTGCCCCCCCCCCCCCCCACTTTTTTGCCCAACATTACGTTTACTATTGAAAATGTCCATTGAAAGGTCGGTCCCCCCCCCCACTTTTTACCACAGTATATACAAAGCAAGAAATAGAGGAAAAAATTGGAAGTGAAAGGAAGTTCGACTTGAAAAAAGTTGGCCACTACTGTTAATTAAAATGAGAGCTTAATTTAAAAGTAATTGGAAAAGGGGGGGTGTTTTCAACTTAATGTGCTCATGCATTTTCAGTTCTCCACACGGTAAAATAAATTGATATTTACAACCATTGACTGTATTGAAGTATTAAAGATACCCACAAAAAGCTTTTGATGACAGTACACATACATGTGAGAAAAAATATGAGATTTTTTTAACCTTTATGAACAAAAATTAAACTTTTTAAAAAAGTACTTGGAAAGAAAAACC